AAAAAAAAAAAAAAAAAAAAAAAAAAAAAAAAAAAAAAAAAAAAAAAAAAAAAAAAAAGAGGGGCTTTTTTCCAATCCTACTTTCCAACTACTGATGGGAGTAGAGGCAAAGCAGAAAGCTTTCCGTTGAATGGCTCTTTCTGTGTGTATGATAATAATAATAATAATTATTATTTTTAAATAATAAATATTATTTAATCATTATTATTGTTAGTATTATTTCACTTTAGTTTTAAATTTCTCTTTCACTACCTAAACTCTCCCTTTTTTTTTGCACGTTCATGTCTTCTTTTCTTTATTTTTAATCATTTAAAAAATATATATATACACGATAAAAAGAAAAGTGTCCAATATCAATTAATCTAGGGAAACTTAAGGATGTTCTTTTACAAGTGCGCAAGCATGCCATGTTCAAACAAAGAAGGACGACATGAGTCATGAATTGGAATTAACAAAGATTTGAAGGGAATTTAAGATCTTAATTAAGAGAATTATATAAATTGGGAGTCAAAATTGGATTTTAATTCTAGAGAGAGAGAGAGAGAGAGAGAGAGATGTGCGTGTGTCATCAGTCATCAGTGAGCTGGGGAGAGTTATTTATGTGCTTTGGCTGTCACCGCACACTAATCTTCTTCACACGAAAAGATATCATTCCCCAATTCCGCATTGCCCAATTTCTTTCCACATTTCTCTCTTACTTCCTTTGATCCTTCTTCTTTGTGCTTCTCAATCCATTTCCCCTTCCTATTTTCATCAGTTTTCTCATGTAACTGTGAACCATTTTCATCAGTTTTCTCTGCTCTCTGCCTTTTTCACGCCTTGTGCCTCTTTTTCTTCTCTGAATAATGTAATCTGGGGATTAACCCTTCTTGTATTAATCTTTCTCTGTTAGGTTAATGTTCATTTCCTTGAAAGTTCTGTTCTGAAGCTGTGTGTTTATGTTTTCAATTATGGGTTCTCGCTAATCTTGCTGTTCTTGGTCGGTGGGACTGTTTTCTCAATGCCCATTTGCTTTCAGCTGTTCTAAGACGTTCAAAATGCAGTTTGGGAATATGGGTTTTCGTTAATTTTTGAAGTCTTGCTTTCAAAGCAGCTAGTGTTCTTCTGGATTTATACCGAGCTTAGGCATCTTTAGAATGTAAATCCCTCCCACATTACCAAGATCCAGTGTTCTTAGTCACTTAGCTCACTTTTTTGACTCTATTGGGTGGAACTAGTTGACCGATACTTAGCTGATTAGTAATAGCGTTGTCAGGATTTTAAATCTGAAACGATGAAAGCTCGTTAGCCCAGATTACTTTAGTTACAATGAAGAATTCCACCCTTGTTTTTGTGTTTGATATGGAGTCCAGAGCTATTAGCCTCACTCCTAATTAATTCATTTGTTCATTTGTTCATTTGTTGCTAGCATTGATCTTCCCACCATTCTTTACGAACACTCTTAAAGATGTAAAGTTCTGTTAAGTTCATTCAACTTCATAGCTTTACTGAAGCATAACTATATGTATTACATTCAGTTTTCCCATCTCTTGTTCAATATCAATGAGAATCTAGAGTTGTTTGTTTCTCCGTTCATACGACGTCTCGAATTATTAGTTATGAAGTTTTAAACATCATGTTGGCCTCTCGACTCCTCTTAACTTGATTATGGTTTAGCTTACATGTTTCCACTTTGGTTTGTCTCTTCAATGTTACTTCCACTTTCATAGTCTTGATATTTCGAACGAAAAGGGGCAAAAAAAATCCGTTCAAAAACCTTCTTGTTTACAAACTTAACATGGAAGAAACATTTTTTCCATTTCGTGGGATTAAGAATGATATGAGAGGAAGACTTCTGTGCTATAGACAGGATTGGACTGGCGGGTTTCGCACCGGTATCAGGTTTACTTCCTTATGACGAAAGGCGATTGCTATATAAGCTTCTGTTTTTATTGCCTCACCAAGTTAGAACTGTATACTTATGTGTAGGGTCTGTTTTTGTTAGGATCTTGGCCCCAACGACGTACATATTCTTCGCTTCAGCAATTCCGGTTATATCGTTCGGGGAGCAGCTAGAAAGGAATACATGTATGCCTACTTCTTTGGTTGCTGATATGCCTTTTGTTCTTTATAAACTTGTCTAGTCTGCTCAGATATAATTCTCTCTTTCATTCATGCCATAGATGGGACTCTAACTGCGGTACAAACTCTAGCATCAACAGCACTTTGTGGCATTATCCACTCCGTGTTCGGGGGACAGCCTCTGCTCATCCTTGGCGTTGCTGAACCAACTGTTTTGATGTATACGTTCATGTTCGACTTTGCAAAGGACCGAAAGGAACTGGGGCAGGAACTATTCTTAGCCTGGACAGGATGGTATCTGTTTAAGTTATCTTTACCGAATGAATAAATAACAATAAGAGGGATTCATGCTAGTGCAACAAATAGTTAATTTTGTGTTGTTCTTCTCTGTATATTATAGGGTGTGTGTGTGGACAGCCATTTTGCTTTTCTTGCTTGCTGTGTTGGGTGCATGCTCCTTGATCAATAGGTTCACACGTCTTGCTGGAGAATTGTTCGGTCTGCTAATTGCTATGCTCTTTATGCAGCAGGCGATACGTGTGAGTTGTAATCTCGAGTCTTGGTCTCATGACTAACTATAAGAATTAAATAAACAATTCCAGCTTCTTGAGGAAGTTAAAAAGTTCATCTCATAACAGTTTGATTGTCTTTGCCTTGCATTACCATAGTCCAATGTACTATTTCCTTGTATAGGGTGTTGTGGAGGAATTCAGCATACCCCAAAGGGAAAATCCGAATCGTGTGGCACTCCAACCTCCCTGGCTCTTTGGCAATGGAATGTTTGCATTAGTGCTATCGTTCGGGCTTCTACTAACCGCCCTTAAAAGCCGCAAGGCTAGATCATGGCGCTATGGGACTGGTACGACATCCATATAGATACAATTTCAAGCGTAGTTTTGGATAATATGTTGTGTTCAGTAATGATTCTGGTCTGTTCCTGCCATTTGTCTTCTGAAATATGATCGAAAATATAGGTTGCCTACGAGGCTTTATCGCCGATTACGGAGTTCCACTTATGGTGCTCGTATGGACAGCGTTATCTTACATTCCAGTCAATAACGTCCCACATGGGATCCCAAGAAGGCTTTTCAGTCCCAATCCATGGTCTCAGGGAGCCTACTCAAACTGGACAGTCATAAAGGTTTGTCATATGTTGCTGATATCCAAATTTCTATTAGTTTGATAGCAAAGCCATACACTTCCCTTTCTCCCCATGTGCAGGAAATGTTGAGAGTGCCTCCATTGTATATAGTTGGAGCATTCGTACCAGCAACCATGATAGCAGTTCTTTACTACTTTGATCACAGTGTTGCATCTCAACTTGCCCAACAGAAAGAGTTTAATTTGAAAAAACCAGCTTCATATCATTATGATCTTCTTCTCCTAGGCTTCCTTGTAAGCTATCTCATGGAAATATAACATTTCCTCTTCTTTTACTGCAAATTTAGTAGCTCCATGAAGGGGTGACCCAGTTGAATTTGCTTTGAAAAGGGTTTTTCATGTCAATAGAAACTGTTTCTCTTCTCAGGTTATCCTCTGTGGACTTATAGGCATACCACCTTCTAATGGTGTAATTCCTCAGTCTCCTATGCACACGAAAAGCTTAGCTACCCTTAAACATCAGGTAATAACTTCAATCAGTTCTCAGTTTATCTGATTTTATATGCATATATACATTTTCTCTGATTTGAATCTCGAAAGCACGTTGCATCCAGTAGTCGTTATGAACCTCTCTTTCCGAATGTATGTATGCATAATCCATCGCTTTTATCGCCGATATCTCGGCTTCAACCATTTTCTAGGTTCATGGAGGGATAGATTATGTTTGGCAATCATCTTCCTTCTCAAATATCTTTGACTGCGTCTTCTTGTCCCTGTGTTTTGTTAGAAATCACGGCTCTCTACAATGGTATGATATTGTCCACTTTGAGTATAAGTTCTCGTGGGTTTGCTTTTGTTTCTCCAAAAGGCTTCATACCAATGGAGATAGTGTTTTTTTACTTATAAACTCATGATCTTCCTCTTAACTAGCCAATATAGGACTATTCCTTTCAATAATCCTTAACAATCCTCGTCTCGAACAAAGTACACCATAGAGCCTCCTTTGAAGCCTATGGAGCCCTCAAATTGCCTCCCTTTAATTGAGGCTCGATTCCTTTCTCTGGAGCCTTCGAACAAAGGGTAAACAAAGTACACCATTTGTTCGACACTTGAGTCACTTTTGACTACACCTTCGAGACTCACAACTTCTTGGTTCGACATTTGAGGATGGTATTGACATAGCTAAGTTAAGGACATGACTCTGATACCATGTTAGAAATCACAACTCTCCACAATGGTATGATATTGTCCACTTTGAGTATAAGTTCTCATGGCTTTGTTTTTGGTTTCCCCAAAAGGCCTCGTACCAATGGAGATAGTGTTCCTTACTTATATACCCATGATCTTTGTCTTAATTATCTATTGTGGGACTACTTCTTTCAATAATCCTCAACGTGAAATTTCTATGATTGTACTCACTCTCGTAAACTTCCTTCTAACATGAAATTTAAACAAAGTGGTTATGTTTTATCTCTTTTTAAATAGCTTTTGCGGAGCAAGCTGGTAGCAGCAGCGCGACAAAGTTTCCGTAAAAATTCGAACTTAAGTCAGTTCTACCAGAACATGCAAGAGGCATATAATGAGATGCAGACTCCTTTAATTTATCAAAATCCACCAGCAGTGGTAATGGTGATCATTTGGAATGAACTTTGCGTTATTCTCATTTTTATTTATACTTAATCTCACATGTTCTGTCTTCAAGCAGGGGCTGAAGGAGTTGAAAGATTCCACCATCCAACTAGCTTCAAGAACTGGATACATTGATGCACCTGTGGATGAAACTGTTTTCGACGTGGACAAAGATGTCGACGATCTTCTTCCCGTAGAAGTTAAAGAACAACGTCTCAGCAATTTGCTTCAGGCAGTAATGGTTGGTGGTTGTGTTGCTGCCATGCCTCTTTTGAAGAAGATCCCGACTTCGGTTCTTTGGGGCTACTTCGCTTTCATGGCGATCGAGAGCTTGCCCGGAAATCAATTCTGGGAAAGGATTTTACTGCTTTTCACTGCTCCGAATCGTAGATACAAGTTAGTTGACATTCATATTTTCAAATGGGACGTTGACTTTTGCATACGACAGTTGACTGAAGATTGACTAGTGATTCATTTGACTTTCAGGGTGTTGGAGGAATATCATGCAACTTTTCTAGAAACTGTCCCCTTCAAAACAATTGCTACTTTCACCCTGTTTCAGACAGTGTATCTGCTGATGTGTTTTGGTTTAACATGGATACCAATTGCTGGTGTTCTTTTTCCGCTGCTGATCATGCTGCTTGTCCCTGTGCGCCAGTATTTGCTCCCCAGGTTCTTCAAAGGTGCTCATCTTCAGGACTTGGATGCTGCTGAATACGAGGAAGCCCCTGCAATCGCGTTTAATCCATCCTTCGAAGTAAGCTATCAGAACTCTCTGTTCGTTTTAGTTAAATCCGTTAATTGTCTTAGTTCATGTGAGATCTCATATCAGTTGGGAAGGAGAACAAAACACCCTTTACAAGGGTGAGGAAACCTCTCCCTAGAAGAACACGTTTTAAAAATCTTAAAAGGAAAATTTGCTAGCGGTAGGCTTGGGCGGTTACCGTTCAAGTAAATCCACATACATCCCTCTTTGAGTCGGAATAACAATGCAAAATTTGAACATAGGAGCACATAATCATGGTGTTAAAGCTATTCCATTCCACATTTGTGTTGTTTGGTACTTTTCAGGATCGAATGGGAAGAACTTCCAACATTGACGATGGTGAAATACTCGATGAGATGATCACGAGAAGCCGTGGCGAGATTCGGCGTACACAGAGTTCGAAAATGACGAGCTCATCTCCAAATACGGTAGAGGGCATCAAACCTACGTACAGCCCACAGATATCATCACAGAAACTGTACAGTCCACGGATCAATGAACTGAGAAGGGAGAGGAGTTCTCTATCTCCTGGAAAAGGACCTGGCTTTAAGCTGAATTCTAGTCCTAGTCCTAGTCCAAGTCCAAGTCCAAGTCCGAGTGCAGAGCCAGGGCCAGGACCATCCTTTAGAAATTAGCCTATTTGTAAGTGGTTACTTCTGCATGGTTTTGATATTGTTAATTGTGTTCGAGAGGCCTTTTAACGCTGTTTTGCTGCAGCTAAGTGTCAGTTTGTATGGGAATTATGTCTTTTTTTTTTCTTTAATAAAACGAATGAAAAACATACATATACTGTTTATGTAGATTTGTCATACAGAATTATCTGAATGTTAAAAAGGTGATATTATGCTATTTTCTTCCATTATTATATGATCATGTGATGTAATATTTCTTATGTCAATTTTTCAGTCCATTACTTTGGTGGAAAACGCTCCAAAGGTTAGGTCATATTAATTTTAAAAGTATCTATCATCATCGAATAGATATTTGAACGTGAATATCAACAGGCTAAAGATTTAAATATCAAATTCAACATCAGAATTTATGTAAATTTAAAATCAAATCCTATGGAATCTATGTAAAATTTAATGCGTCTGAATGAGGCGTTTGATTCGAATCTTGACGTGCCAACCTAGATGGACAAATCGCATAAACCCAAAATAGTTCGCTACCCAATGCTGCAAGTGTTATGTTTTCTATGAACAAATATTTTCAAGGTCATTAATTAAAGGAGATGTCTGTATCATTATTATTTTTTTAAAATCCCGGGATGGGTTAAAAGTTAAATAGCATTTAACCACATCACAGGCTTCTATTAGAAATTGCAAATCTTACTTAGAGTCGAACAAGCTCATTATGAGGAAGACAACAAGTGCTAAACAGGCTGAATTCAAATCTGAAAATTTAAAACGTTCACTAGCATTTCAATTCTAATACTGTGGATACTTAGCCTTGCGAATAGTAAATTGAAATGGACAGGGCTGTCCAGAGGGAAGGAAGATGGCTATTCATCAACAAAGAATAAAAGTCATCCTGAAGGGTAGAAAGAAAAAGTACAAAACTTCAGAGGTGTTTTCTACATGGATTGCAACTACAAACAAATCGTCCATGGATTTTTTTAGTCATGGTTAACAACTACCAAGTTGCTAAGGCAAAATTTTATGGGCGGCTTTTAAGCAGTCTTCGGCTTGGCTTTGATGCGCTTAACCCTTGAATACAGGAAAACCCCAGCAAGAGCTATTCCAGTGCCTGCATTAGATCCGAGAATAAGTGTTTTAATGCATCAAGAAGTGTTTGACACGCAAATTCACAAACAGAAGACTGAAGAAGCCAATATTACCAATAGAGTTGATTGGAGAAACAGGTGTTTGGAAGAAGATAACAGAGCTCACGATGACAACAACACGCTTTACACAATTGCCTACTGAGTGGGTAACAGGCGATACTCTTTGCAATATCATGTAAGAAACCTACAAAAGTCACCCCAATGGCTGTAGTGAAAACCCTTCACGTGAAAAATGAATGAGCAGTAGGCACGGCAAAAGTTTTAAAACTGCAAGTGTATCAATGTCATCATGCATCTTTAGACTAGAACTACACCAAAAGTTCTCAGCATTACATATATTCCTTCATGAAAATATCAAATACTTTCTCTACAGGTACAGAAAATTTGGTTCTTCTTTTTTTTTTCATTTCAAAAGGCTGTTTAGCTAAAGATATAGAGACGAAAAAGGGACAGTCCACTCGTGAAATTGGCAATCTTACCTGTTGGTATGCATGGAAACAAAGGGCAGCAAGAAGAGACCTAGTGAAGACTTGGTTTACGTTCAATCCCTGTAATGATAGATAGAATTACATTGAAGAGCAAGATATACAACTGAAGAAATTTCTACTGAATTTTCCCTTCTGATTTACTCACAGCTGATTGTAAGTATGCAGGAGTAACCTTGACACCTTCCATGAAGACAGCAACAGGGGACAATAAGAAAAAGGACATGATTGTTATAATTGAAAAGAGGGTGATGTTGTCCATTGAATCCTGATTCAAGAACAAAAATGTAGTTACTTTATCACTCCAACGAGCAAAGATACAGATATTTGCGCTGAAAATTATTTTCTCCTCCATTAGATGTAGAACATGAGTTCCAAATCAATACAAATGCTAACAGAAGTTTCACAGGTAATCAGAAAGATGCATCTGTAGTGGTTACCTCTTTTTTCGCCATGACCTTTTTGCTAAGGACATTACGAGATTGATTAGTCAAATTGGATGCCATTGCACTAGAAAATCCGGCCCTTTTACAAGAAATATGATAAATCAGAAATTGCAAAAATAATCCATTTTCAATCATCTACCTAAAAGAGTAGACATGAATATAGACATACTAAAACACTGGTCTTACCAGTTGAAGGAGGCCTCAGTGGCAGATGCCAATGCAACACCGCCAACAATTGGTATAATGGATGCAACAACCCAGGGAGTAGGAGTCTTCAAGGACACAAAGACAATCGTCAAGAGTTAAGACAACACCAACAATGGGCTTAAGAGATGCAACAACACCAGCATTTTTCTCATGGTTTTAAGAGGTTAATGCTCGGACCTCGAGCATAAAAGACTAGAACACTAATTCACTGAAATTCAGGGCGGCCGACGAAGTTCTGATTTTGACAAGGGACACAAGCACGTGATACAAAAATAAATAAACAAATAAGTGACCAAGTGTTAGAATACCTCTCCAAGAAACATTGCTGACAGGATAACTGAAAAAAAAGGCTCCATAGCTTTAATTGTGTGGGTGAACGATACGGCCACTTTCCCAAGACTCATGTTCGTAAAAAGATTTCCCAATGTATGAACTAACGCGAGCGGCAGAACAGCAGCAAGCTATTTAAGTTTAAAGAAGTCAAAACCTCGTAACAAAAGTTTGTGAATATGAAACAGAAAACCTCAACGAAAATTCATTATTCAAAACAAGTTTCACGTACACAAGTTTCCTAATACTCAAAAGGGGGGAATGCCAATTACCTGAGCGCCACTAATCTTAGGCCTTTTGCAGAGATTAAGTCCCCACATAAGAAGAACAAGTACAGTGCCTACGGCAAATTGAACAGCAGTGACAGTTACAGGGAACGGAAACACCTTGAGGACCTGTGAACAAGTAGTGTCAGATATTATCAGTTTTCTCATCTCCTATAAAAGCTAGTATTTCAATTCATGTTGATCGATATATAGAGTTAAAAGTTGAAACGAATGAGCAGGTAGTAAGAGAGAGTTACACGAAACATTGAAGGAGCAATTTATTTTATGAGACACTAAGGATTTAATTCTGAATTCTGCTGATTATGATTATTTGCAGAGGAAAAAAGAAAACTCAAGGTTATTAAACTTTCAAGTATCAACATACCAGCAGGTGCTTAATCATACCTTATCGTTCCTTTGCCATTATCAAGGCCATCACCTAAAAAATCCTATTCACACGCGTCAACTAAGAGAGTTCGATTTTACATCTTCATCGGAACAACTCGTTCTCTACCTAGTCGAAATATGAAAATATCGAAACCGAATGGGGAAATTTGGCGCCAATATCTCATAAGCAGGACTCCTGGATAAATCCTCAGACAAGAATATTGACCTAGATAAATACTGAAAATAATAAATAGAACGAATCTTACAAGATAATTTAAGCATGCAACTAACTAACTTTCTTTCTTGATAGGATCCACATACGGCGCATTATCAAGGCTCGGTTCCTCGCGATACAGGCATTTCATGCAAATCGATAAAATATAACCACGAATTCTAACAATCGACCACAAAAAATGCGGACACCGTAAAAGTTCAAAGAAGAAAAAGAATATATCTAACCTGCTTGTTGAAGATGTTAAAGTAGATGTTGAAAAGGTACCAGAGGCCAAACAACAATCCGAGCTCCAACGTTTTCATTAGGCTACCGCCAGCACTGGCGGCCTCCTCTGAGCTTTCCGGAACCGCAGCGGCCTGAACCTTGAAATGATTCGCATCAAAATCCGAAGCAAACGAAGGTACACCGGTCCATGGGCGGAGTTTCGAGGACGAAAAAGGAGAATTCGACAAAGTCCAAGATCGCCGGGGCCAAGAGGAAGGAAGACTGACATTGTTCAGGTCACTGAGATCTCTGGAATTTGAAGAAGATGATCGAATTGAGTTACATCCTGAGCTGAAGAACGAAGTATGAGGCCTCCGAGGCTTGAGAAGTGGAAGAGAAGGCGAAAAGGTGACCGAAGAGCTCTGCATTTCGAACGCCTGAGCTCGAGATCTGAGATCGGAGAAGAGGACGAAGCAAAAGAGAAGGGCCTCGGAGCGTCCGCCGAGGAGAAAGGTTGGTGAAGCAGTGGTGGGTGGCGCAATGCAATAGCGAGAATGGACTCTTAATATTTGGGGAGTTAACTAGTCAAAATTAAACAACTAATGCCCGATATTTAAACCATTTTATTTCGACTCTAATATAATTATTTATTTATTACCTTAGTTTACTTTATTTTAATGTCGGAGATTTGAACTATATTTAGAATTGAAAAAAAAAAAAAAAAAAAAAAAAAAA